TGACTCTGTAAACCGCTTAGAGAGGACTGAAAGCCCTATGAAGCGGTATATAAGTCTAATTGCTGCTATAATTATCTTTTTACAGCATGCGCTGCCAAGCCATTCTCTACATGGCAATGTTTCGCTACAAGAAGGACACAGCAATAAAGTATTCCCGGACTCTTAATGAACATTTCAAGGTAGAGAGTGAACAGTTTCAATTGAAAGTGGAAGGGAGGGTATTTCCAACAATGTTATGCCAGTGGGTGAATGGTTTTCCCAAGTGAACGATTAATATCTGAACAGTGTAACATGGAACTAACAAGTATTTTTGTCAGAGTTTGTTGCAGAAAAATCGAAAGCACAGACTGATAACTGATTCAGCTGGATTCATTAACTTCTTTATATGCATAATAACAGATGAATAAATGTACAATGCCGATAGTAGATTCTTTCAATGTGGTGGAAGTTACAAGCCAAAGACGAGCAGGAGAGAACAGTTTCATCTCAGAGTTCAGAGCAGACAGAGATCAGTTTTGTTTCAGTTTCAATTCTCAGCACAGACTCAGGTCAGTGTAAGCTCCCATTCATTGGCTGACTCAGTTGCTATGCCTATTCATTGGCTGACCTTGTTACCATGTCTCTCCCAGTTATGAATATTCTAACATTCTATGACAGTAGTGGCACTTTCAGATATATGGAGTTTCCACTCTCTTTGATTTTCCAGGTTGAGAAGATGGCCGGTTTCTGGGATGTCCAGATGCTGTTCTAACTAGGTTTTCTTCCATTCTGAGCAAAGCCACAATGTACCATCATTGAAAAAAGCTGAGTCAAGTGGGAAATCTGTTTATGCTGTTGTCAGGAGCTTGTATTATAAGGCGATATCACGGCCATAAATTATTTCATTACTTAGTCATATCATGATACACTTTATTTACTCTACTCTTTCCAAGGCTGAGACAAGACTTTCTACAATTTGTAAGACAGACTTTCCTGGACTCAATCCAAGCGTCCATCTACTTCTTTCCACAATTGCTGGCCACGTGCTTCTGAGAAGCCTATTAATAGAGCTTGAGGGATGCAGCTTTTCAGTAAATAATCCTTTCAGCAAACGAGCCCAATATTTCACTTTTAAGTTTTGTTTACTGCCTTCGAGTCCTGGTGACTGCCTGGATGAGCTCCTTCCCTTTTCTTGGCAAGGTTTTTTTGGAAGTGACCTACTATTGTCTCCTTCCTACAAATATAATATTATATCTCACTTGGCCTCTGTAAGGTTAGACATGTCCCTTTCTAATACTACCGTATTTTTCGGACTATAAGACGCACTGGAGTATAAGTCGCACCATGATTTTAAAGAGGTAACGTTTTTTCAAAAAAGTTTTCGCACTCTGCAAAAAAAGGGGGGCATGCAGAGCTTTGGGGGGCTTGTAGAGTGCTCCTGGGGGCTGGGGGGGGCAAAAATGAGCAAAAAACAGCCCATTCCTTTGAAAAAACGTTTTTTTTCCAAAAAAAAGGGGGGGGGGCATGCAGAGCTTTGGGGGGCTTGTAGAGTGCTCCTGGGGGCTGGGGGGGGCAAAAATGAGCAAAAAACAGCCCATTCCTTTGAAAAAACGTTTTTTTTCCAAAAAAAAGGGG